ATGGTCACTTCCGAGACACTTTTTTTGATTATCTCATCAGTAGATTGCGTATTCGCGGGAATCCGTAAAACGACGTCTTTCATGCCAAAATGGGAGTTCATCCGATCAGTAATGTGGCCCTTGATCAAGAGTAGGTTAGCGAGGGTTATTGGAGTTAGCTTGATCTCGATCATACCTGGGGCGAAATTCGTCACCGCGCCACAAAATTAAGCTGGCCTTACTGTAGCTGTTCGCAGCTCTCACTGGAGGCTCTACCAATGAAATGCTCACATCCTTCAGCTGAGGTATTATTGCGTACCTGTTTGGTGAGTATATTTAAAAATGACACCGCTGGGGTTCGAACCCGCGACCTACCCGTACAGTACGGCGCTAGCACGTACATCCCCCCCATTATATTGAATATGTTTTACATGGAAAGTGTTATCATCTGGAGTAGTCGCTGGGTTCATCGATGATACCGCGAAGCGAATAGGAGTCTGCATAGGGCAGTCTATACACCCTAGCTCAGGGTTGCCAACGAAACTGATGGCCACTACATTATAGCTATCTGTACGGCCATTCCTGACCAACGAAAACTGTCACCAAAATTTCCTCAGAACTGTCACCAACACATGTAGTTGACCATGTGCATATTTTCCCACAAACTAAGAACGGCCAACCCCAACTCATGATAATAACGCACCGTCATTATCGACTGAAACACCCGCATCAATTCTCACCGAAGCGAACAAGGCTCCCTCCAGAATAGTCCACGAAATCATATTAGCAGAGCATACAGGAGGACTCCGGTCCAGGGCTGTAGATGGTGATACTCCTTCATGTGATATCAATGCATAATCCCTACACTCCTCCTTACCTGAGAAGAACACTGCCGATCAAATAAACATGAATATGAACTCACCAATCTCGCTGAAGCTGAAGCCTCGAGGGGCTAGTAGCACTATCTCGTCACCGGCCACAACGACGTCCGGAAACGACATGAGAAATTCCAAGCGGACTTCGGTGAGGCCGTAATGGGAGGACGCAGAGAGCATCTTGAAAGAGGTGGTGACGAAGTTTACGCTGAAACCTGAGATACAAAGAAAATTAATTTTGTGGCGCAGTGACGCGGCACTGAACTGTCAAATTCACAAGCCGCGAGGATGCATCGCAACTTTATGATTATTATTCATCAACTGAATAAGTATGTAACACGCGTGGAAAAGTTATTTCACATTTCACATTTCTCAAAGACGCGTAAAACACGTGATGTACCTCACATGAGATGGAGTCATATTTCGTGCGGTTGTGTAAGTGTTTTCAATTCAGTTCATATCGCGAATATAGCATTTTTTCAAATGAAATACCACGCCACTTCGCGTAAAACGGGTGGAACTCCAAGAATAAATCTTAAATATGAAAACAAATACAAAAATATCACTGAAACAGAAACTTACAGTTACAATGGCTCGAGGCATTGAAACAAACGTTAAAACAGAGCCTAGAATGCCAATCCGAATTGCATACCTGGAAACTGCGCATAGTCTAGTGTAGAGGTAGTTACATCAGCCTTCTCATAAGACTGGAATGTCCAAGAGTTCACAGGAGATATCGAAGTAGGGTTACTGACCATCACCGTTATTTTGTAGATCGCATTAGCGACCATCGATTGGCCGGCCAAGACCTGAGCATGACTCCGATAAAGAGGAAACAACCTCGGAAGGAAGGCTCAACCCGACCTTCAACCGAAATCTTGTGAGAGACGACCACCAACCTCTCGGTACAACACCGAGGAGGAGCGCGCGATATTCCACATAAAACTGTAGCAGGTACAGACTCTTTGTATGATAGTAGTAATAGCATTGCTACATACATCTAGTAAAGTGCATTTACGGATGAAAATTAGAACTAGGGAAACTGGAAGCAGCATTAGTAGTAAAAACGATATTTTTGATGACAATAAAAGTAGGAATATTGGTAACAATCACTGGAAAAAAGCAGTGTTGGAGGAATATTTGTTTGCTTTCCTCAGTTGAGTTAAGGAGTTTCCTCACTAACTATAGAGCTTAGGGTAAAAGTGTACAGAAACCAACACGAATTTTCCCCGGGAAAATCGGGAAATTTTTCCGGAATTTTCTCACAATTTCCATATTATAATCAACACACGTAGTTGACCATATATATATTTCCCCACATTGAAGAAAAGTATTATAGCATCTCCACCACAATGTTGAATAGTGTTGTAATATATGTCAGCTTCCCTGAGCTGACCCTAGGAGTTTCCTCACTAATTATACTATGATTACTCCTATTAGGAGTTTATATACAAAGAACAGACCCTACTGTAGGGTAAAAATATACCGGAATTTCCCGAAATTTCCTCAGAAATTTCATATGTTCACCAACATATGTGGTTGACCATGTGCATATTTTCCCACACTGTGTTGGAGTAGTGCACTATCTCGAACAACGTGAGTAGGTTGGGCTCATAGTAAACGAGATAGAGCAGATAAGAAGTGAAAAGTAGCCGGGTAAAGGATGCGGTGATAAGGTAGCGATTGTGTAATGTAGTGAGTGCAGTAGAATATATATCTTCGCTTCCAGAAGAGTTCCAATTTGTGTATAAGAACTATTTTTATACTATACTTCTATTTTATCAAAGCTATTATAACAACTAAAGAATTCCTTAGATTTCCTCACATTTTTATATTGTCATCATC